TTAGACTTGATGGAAATATATTATTTTTACTTTATAAATGAATATCATTACAAGATATTTGATAAAATTTTTACATTGAGCCATTTTAATTTGCTAAGCATTTGCCTAATTGGAGTATATTTATCTTTATTTAGAATTATTCTCATGCACTTATTTTGTAAATTTGCAGTCTTTCAAAAATGGAATTATTTGCTATATATAGAATAGTCGAACAGTACAAGAAATTTGGAAGAATGATGGTATTATAGATATTTTTTCTGCTATGAACTCAGACATCCAGAAACTCTCGATAAATATCCCACTTTACTACTAATCTTATTTATAACTTTTTCATAATGAATATCAAAAATTAATCGAGAGTCAACAAAAACTCCCAGGTATTTAAAATTTTCTACGAATTCAATATTTTCACCATCAACATTCAGTTGAACATTTGTATATTGTTTTTTTCCGATTAACAAGGCTTTCGTTTTACTTGCATTTAATTTTAGTCTGTTAGATGCTAACCATTTTGAGACAAGCTTCAAGTCTTCATCTTCATTTATATAAGAGATACCAGACTGAATATTTTTAGTACTTATATAAATCATAGTGTCATCGGCGAAAATTTGAATTTTGCATATTTTGACTATGGCAGGTAAAATCATTTATGTATAAAATAAAAGATAATATCTTTAATAATAATGTTTTGTTGTAAATGACTGAATATTATTAAAATCCTTAGCACATAGTTCTATAGATCCCAACAGCTGAAGAGATTTAGAGACAATCATATTTATATGGGTAATAAAGGATAATTTTGGGTCAAGAACTTGGGATACACTCTTTAGAGGACAACCTTTGATGGTATAAGTATGATCAATGGGGTACCTGTTACGGCTGAAGCCATTAAATCATTTTGGATATTCAAACAATCAATATTATATTTGATTTTTAAGAATAATTTCAAATCATCTGCAAACATTATAAAACTAACAGACTTAAAACCGTATATAATATCATTCACGTATATATTGAAAAGAAGAGGACCCAGATGGGTACCTTGAGGTACTCCAGATGGCACACTAATCTCAGTTGATTGAAAGCTTTGTATACGGACTATTTGTTTTCGGTCAGTGAGGTAAGACTTCAGCCATGATAAAAGATCTCCGCAAAGTCCTAGACAATGTAATTTATTAATCAAGATCTCATGGTTGACCTTATCGAATGCTTTAGAAAAATCTGTGTAAACTACGTAAATACTCGTAGAGTAACCTTCCTCCAAGGATTCCAAAACATAGTTTGTGAATGTTAAAAGATTTAATTCTGTGGAGCGTTTTGAAATAAATCCAAACTGTTGACTTTAAAACTACTTTGCAAATTTGCGGAAAAAATTCACACACTACGCTCTCAAATGCCTTTCCAATGCAACTCAGTTTACTGATAGGTCGATAATTTTGACTTGTCAAGGTTCTCCAGATTTCAGTATTGGAGTAATGAAGCTTGTTTTCGAACATTCCGGAAAAGTTCCACTTTTCAACGAAAGATTAAAAATATAAAATAGAGGTCTAGAAATCAGAAAGCTACAATGTTTAATCAACAACGGAGGTACACCATCAGGTCCAGGTCCTTTATTAGCGTCTAATTTGGACAGTTTTTCGTAGATGGCTGAGATTTGAATTTCATAGTTAAACAAATTAATAATAAAATTTACTTGCAAGAAATTTTTTAAGCTTAGCCTTACAATTATTTGTATCTCCACACACTTTAATGTGTGATTTGGTAGCCCATTGCAAATGCGTAAGCCCAGTAAAAAATCTTACCGTTTTGATCAATCTGTGAACATTTCTGTTCCCGGATAGAGACGCCTTCTCTACAATTGCATCATCTGCTCCTTTGCAAAACATCCTGATCCTTCCTTGGTTGTCTCTCGCAATCACGGACATCATCTTCCTGGCAGAGGTGAATTCCAATGTGCAGAGGATTTGGAAAACTGACCTGATGCCTCTCACATCCACTACGATGGCATCGTGAGTACGCTCTTGGAAAATGTACCTATATTTTAAAATCCTTCTGAAATTACATATAGTCAACGCCAAACAAAGTGGCGTGCACGTCATCACGATAAAAATTCCCCGACCTAATGCCTAGGTTTCTATCACAAACAATTGCTCTATTGCAGTTTCATATTAATGTGATATATAAATTGTAAAATGGTCATTACTCTCTTATTATGGTTAATAGTCATATAAACATTGTTATTAAAATATCACATAAGTTGCTTTCTGATAAATTTAGACGCATTATGCGAAATAAAATGTTTTGCAAACGCTCCAATCACTTATCGACATGTAAACGCACTAAACCGATTTCGCAGCGTTGACACATTGTCACCTTGAAACTTATTTAAACTGGGAACTGACATTTGTATTAATTTTGACACTGAATCAATTTGTGGCATTTCAAATCTTTATAAATCCTTTGGCCCCGCATACTGTAAATCAACAACTGTTTGTTTCAAAACAAAATTATTCATTTTACGAGTAGATAAAGGCAATTTTGGTATATAAAGATGCCCAAACAGTTAAATAGTCGGTGTAAGAGAACTCGTGGCCTCGTTAATGCACTACTTTGAGCAAGAAAGGGACAACAACGGGCCTTTGTTGCCTTTAAATGCTGTTCAAGAGGTAGGTTACTAATAATTATATGTAATGTATATTAATAATAGTGAAATTTTATTTCATTTTTTGTAGCGTGTTGCTGCTGCTTTAAAAATTAGTTTAAGGACAGTTAGTCGTATTTCCGAGGGTGTGAAAAGTGATGCAAATTTAGAATCGCCCAAGAAAAAGCGGAGTTATATTAAACGTGTAACCAACACAGCGACATTGGATACAAGTGCCATTCGAGAAGTGATCTATAATATGTATCACAAAAGTAAGATCTTATTATAATAACTTATCAGAAATTTGCATTAATTTGTTAACTAAATTATAATGTCATATTACACATGGTTTCAGAAGAACAAGTTACGATACAAACTTTATGGTCTCGATTAAGAGATAGGGCATTATTTGATGGTAGTGCCACGTCTTTAAGGCGGTTGCTTAGAGATCTTGGATTTAAGTGGCTTAAGGACAATCCGCGACGAGGGCTCATGGAACTACCAAGTATAGCTTTGAAAAGGGTGGAATTTCTAAGGCAATACAATCAAGCCAAGGTTGAGGCCTTATACCAGTTTGTCTTCCTCGATGAAACTTGGATATTTCAAAATGGGACCATAGGTCGCTCTTGGCAAAATGGAAACCAAAAAAGCGTGAAAGCTATTAAAACAGATGGTAAAAGGTATGTACTTTTACACAATTTGCACTATAAAATTTAAAACTAATATATTTTAGATACATTATATTACATGCTGGAAATGAAAATGGGTTTATTGAGGGTAGTGAAGCGATATTTTCTTCGAAAACAAAATTGAGCGATTACCATGGAGAGATGAACCAGGACAATTTTTTGAAATGGTTTCAACATCAGTTATTAGAAAAATTGGAGAGTCCATCTATGATTATACTGGATAACGCCCCTTATCACAGCATGATATTGAACAAAGTGCCCAACAATGCATGGACAAAAAAATATCCAAGACTGGTTGACAAAGTCAAAACATACCATTTTAAACACGAATGTTTAAAACAGAGCTATTGAGAGTATTGTTTGCTCGGTACATAATGCTTCTTAATTATATATATATTTTGGTCGACAGTTATATTTCGTTTTGTTTATTCCTATTCTTAAAATAACTGCTTTTTTAGAAACAAACCACCTAAAAATATACGGTGATTGATGATTGGCGGAACCACATGGGCACAAAGTTCTTCGTCTGCCTCCTTACCATTGTATATTTAACCCTATTGAGTTAATTTGGGGGCATAGCAAAAGGTTACTATAACAGACATATTGGTAGAGATGGTAACAGTGAAAAAGACTGTTTGGATATGTGGAACGAGGCTCTACAAACGGTTACCCCAGACATGTGGAAAAATAGTGTTCGACATACTGAGCAAGAAATTTTTAAATGGTATGAAAGAGATACGAATTTTTGATCGACCAGACATCGAACCTTTAATAATCAACTTTGAGAGTGATGAAGATTCAGATTCAGACAGAGCTTGAAGAAAGAAACTCCGACTAACTTTATTGTACAGAAAAAGCCTTACACCAGTAGCTTACCTAATTTTATAATGCATTTTTCTGTATGAATTCTGTAAAATAAATACCATGCATAAAATTGGAGGACCCCATTTGGATTTTTATTCAGTATACCTTTAAGCTATCAATTAAATATGGTAGTTTCATAGTGTCATCTGATCAATAATTGTCATACTTAATGATTATAGGCAAGTACAGATCTATAATTTTATTATACTATTATTTTTGTTCTCATTTGAGGTTAATATTGCTTATAAACCTAGATATGTAAATAATAAATTTTATTATTTTACAAAAAGTTTGGCAACAATGTAAATTTTTCAACACACCCACCTTGATGACGTGCACGCCACTTTGTTTGGCGTTGACTATAGTCCTCCATTACGCAAAGTGAAGAAAGGGAAAGGGAAAGGGGTAAAGGGGAAAAGGAAAAATGGAAAAAAAGGAAAAGGGGAAAAGAGGAACAGGGGGAAGGAGGAAAAGGGGGAAGGAGGAAAACGGGAAAGAGGAAAGAGGAAAAAAGGGAAAGGGGAAAGGGGAAAGGGAAAAGGGAAAAGGGAAAAGGGGTGAGAGAGAGGGGAAAGGGGAAAGGGGCAAGGGAAAGGGGAAAGGGGAAATGGAAAAGGGGAAAGGGGAAAAGGGGAAAGGGGAAAGGGGAAAGGGGAAAGGGGAAAGGGGAAAGGGGAAAGGGGAAAGGGGAAAGGGGAAAGGGGAAAGGGAAATGGGGAAAGAAGGGGAAAGGGGAAGAAAGGGGAAAGGGGGAAAGGGGAAAGGGGACAGGGGAAAGGGGAAAGGGGAAAAGGGGGAATGGGGGGGAATGAGAGAATGGGATAATGGGAAAATGGAAGCAAGGGATGAAAGGGGAGAAAGTAACAAAGGGAGAAAGGAAAAAAAGAGAGAAAGGGAAAAAGGGAAGAGGGAAAAAGGAGAAGGAGAAAGGAGAGAAAGAAAGGGAGAAAGGAGCAAGGGAGAAAGGAAGGAGAAAGGGAGAAAGGGAGAAAGGGAGGAAAGGGAGAAGAAAGGGAGAAAGGGAGAAAAAGGAGGAGAAAGGGAGAAAGGGAGAAAGGGAGGAGAAAAGGAGAGAAAGGGAGAAAGGGGGAGAAAGGGAGAAAGGAGAGAAAGGGAGAAAGGGAGAGAAAGGAAGAAAGGAGGAACGGGAAGAAAGTCAAATTACCCAAGCAGTGCAGCTGCATCTACCAAAGCCCTCTCGTCTGTCGACTCAGCGTTGTACTTGATCTTTCCGTAGATTGCCTTTCTGGTATGGCTGTATGACATATGGTCATGCATAGGAGAAATGATGAACTTCACTTGGAAAAGGTTGTTTGGAATTTGCCAGTGAGTTTATCGAATAGGTGTTACTTGCAACTGCAATGTGTTTCGAAGCAGTGAGTTTTTCGTTAAGGTACCGACATAAAGAGAAATTCCAGTCTGAATGTATACTAAGAAAATTAAGTTTTAACCTATACAGGGTGTATGGCATTTCGCTCTGATTGAATATATCGCGGACGTCGGTGACGTCGAAATACTCGAATACACTCGCGGAGTATCAATATGGTATTGAAAATGCTCACAGTAAACTACCATCAAGTCAATAACTACGTTACAAACTAGGTTAACCTGTACACCGCGTGGTGGATACTGACTCACAGGAGCGGAGGGAGGCAGGGTCGGAATGGTTTATTTAAAGTTTTTATGAACTTGTCTCGGTTAAGATTTTGGTATATGTGTACTAAAAAAACTTGGTTATTAATGCCAAACTATGTGCTGTGTAAAAGTAAGTCACAACTTTGCAGCCTGCATTGGTGATCTACATCATAAAAGCTGTACTATGAATTGACCATGGAAGAATATGGTTAAATGAGCAAAAGCATTTCATGCAACATTGGGACTACACTATGCTGTACTTTCCTTAGATTTTATTAGTTGCTGAGCAAATTCAGCATTTACCTGTCTTATCTGCAAAGACATACTTCACTTGTCCCAATTCATCGTTCAAATTAGACGTTCTAGCACTGGCTGGACTATCGGACTCTTCATGGTACATTTCCAGATCGACATTGATGAACATGGCCTGGATGAAACGAACTACCTCCAGGGTAACTTGCAAATGATATTGGAATCCGTTGTGGAATAGGATTACAAAACCCGATATGTTGTAAAGGACGTCAATCTAAAATTCGAGAATAAATTATGTCGTACATGCCGGATGTTGATATGGCTTCAAAAGCTTTGAGGCTAACTATCGTTGACATATGGCTCCAAATGAGACTACTTCTTTTGCCTTCATATTTCAGAAAGGAAATAAGCAGAACAGCAGTCGCTCAAACATCTGGATCAATGACGGTTGATAAAAGGTGAATAACGAGTTTCAAAGTAGTATTGCTTTACTCATTCGAAGTAATATTTCGGAAGCCCAAGACCTTCAATGTCAAGGTCATTCTGAGGGTAGCAACAATTAGCTTACGTCCCACGTTGCTGACGAGTACTGTAATCATAGAAAAACCGAAAATGACATATTGTTCTTTGAATGTCATATGATATGTATATCACAAAAACAAATTTCACTCATTTCCGGTGTGTCGGTCCGTCTGTCTGTCCGCTACTTCTTGGCCAGTCTATAATGTTCATGAAATGTTCACACAAGGTTGCTGCTATACCAAGAACTAAAAAGCGTTGTGGTATAAATAAAAATCACTCTAAATTCACTTTTTGACGTTTCATAGCATCCTGATTATTCTCAGAAACATTTCTACAGGACATAAAAATTGAGGGGGGGGGGGGGTTGTATGGGGTTAGGGTTTTGTCATTTTTGGGGTGCTAGCACTTTCCCTACCCGGATAATTCTACGCACCAATTAGACGTAATTCATATATCATGGATTTTACCGTATCTTTGAATTTAAAACTTGATAGAGATTTATTTTTAATGTATACTAAGTGACATATAATCCGAACACCCAGTTTAAATGTTTTATTTTAATAAAACTTTGTATAAGTACTTAATGAAGCATAATAAGTAAATGATAAAAATTTCAAAATGATTGCACTGCTTTAAAGCCCTTTGACCTTTAATAATGTGGGGATGCACCCTGATGTGCTACGCATTCTCCAACGCGCCTAGGGCATGCTTCTGATCAGGTGGTCAATGTCTCTCCTGTGGTATCTCATTCCAGGCAACCACCAACTCCTCCGAAGTGCTTCTAGAGTCTGAGGAGGACGTTGCAAATGAGCAATCTCCTACCCATCATATCCCACACGTGCTCAATTGGGGATAAGTCGGGAGATCTTGGTGGCCATGGTAACAATGTGACATCATTATGTTGAAAGAAGTCTATTGTGACTCTTGCAACATGTGGTCGGGCATTATCTTGTTGGAAAGTTGGATCTGCAGGGTGTCAAGATAGGGTAAAAGATGGGGTTCTAGAACTTCGTGGATATAACGCTGCGCGTTCATGTTACCTCTGATGAAGATTAAAGGTGACCTGGAACCATAAGCTATAGCACCCCAAACCATAACTCCAACAGTGTGATGAACATGTCTTTCAACAAAAAAACTGTGGATTCCTCCTTTCACCACGTCGCCTTCTAACCCTGGCACGACCATCGTGCATGCCTAAACAAAATCGAGACTCGTCACTAAAGACATACTGTTCCATTCCTGATCCCAGAGTGACCGTTGTCTGCACCACTCAAGGCGATTACGTCGGTGTTCTCGAGTTAAAGGGAGGACCCAGTGTGGCCGGTATGAAAACAAGCCAAAACTTCTCATTCGTCGGTAACACTTCGCATGCCAATAGGTCTTCCGTGTTCTGCAAACCATTCATTTGCAATGGACCTGGTAGTGGAGAAACGGTCCCTTAAGGCCAATAATCCTTAGGCGGCGATCTTCACGGTCTGTGTGTTCTACGGCGGCGTCCAGTGCCCCTTGCTCTTTGCGTACGGCCTTCTCGAAGCCATGCCTGACAACACCTAACCACAGTGTCTACACTTCTTTGCACTCTAACTGCAATTGCCGAAAAGAAAGTCCAGCTTCCCGAAGTCCACTATACGGCCCCTATCAAACTCACTAAGTTGACGAAATTCGTACATGTGTCCGTACTCTAGGCCATCGTAACCGATCGTAAAGGATGTCAAGAACCAAATCCCCAACGTTGATTCTTTACTGCGGCTGAACTATATTTTAGAGGCGTTAGTGAATTAAAAAAAAAGCAGTATAAAAACCGAATGTCCAACTGTAAGGCTTAACATTGTTCACTTGTTATTTACAGTAGATTAAATACATTCACCAATTTATAAAATAAAACCATTTAAACTGGGTGTTCGGATTATATGTCACTTAGTATATGTGTATTGGTATGTATGTGTATGTCTTTATTACTAGTTTCTTTAACTTTGTTGTATTCAGCTGCTAGATCGACCGACACATTATTAATTTTTTTCGTATTACTTGTCAATAAAATTTCGTGAAAACGTTATCGTTTGATTCTTAATGTAAGACTACCTCATTGCCAAAAAATCAAGTTGAAGAAATTATTTTTTCTGGGTGTAACACTTGTAATTGAGTATATTAATAAAAAGAAACTCACCGCGCTATAGTCCTCCAATTCCAAGTACCAATGTGTTTCAGAGCCTTATGGTTAGAAATAATTGAAAAACGTACCATAGTACGCATATCAATATAAATAATACGAACATGATAACCATAAGGGTATGGTGATCTTGTCCACGGAAGACTGCTTGTAGGGCACCTTGGTGAAATTAAGAAACAGTTTGGTTTCGTGACCTGTGTAAACAACTACTCCAAATATCCAGGCAGTGTTCCTCAGCTTGGTGCCTCTCAGGAGGAGCTGATAAGGGCCCAGGGGCTCGCTGATTTTGTCTTGAATCAGAAGGCCTGTAATGATGGATTGCTTAAGTATGAAACACCAAAGTAATTCCCCATGTTTGTCTGGGCAATCAAACTACATGTATTTATTTATATTTATTGTATACAGGATTGTCAATTTTGTACTGAAGGTGGCCACCGTTCGGACTTTTTGCAATAAAGAAGAATTTTAAATATACTAAGTCCAACACCCAGTTTAAATGGTTGTATTTAATAAAATTTGATAAGTACTTAATGAGCATAATAAGTCAATGATAAAAATTTCAAAATGATTGCACTGCTTTTTAAAGCCCTTTGACCTTTAATAATGTGTGGATGCACCCTGATGTGCTACGCATTCTCCAACGCGCCTAGGCATGCTTCTGATCAGGTGGTCATGTCCTCCTGTGGTATCTCATTCCAGGCAACCACCAACTCCTCTCGAAGTGCTTCTAGAGTCTGAGGAGGACGTTGCAAATTGAGCAATCTCCTACCCATCATATCCCACACGTGCTCAATTGGGGATAAGTCGGGAGATGCTGGGGCAATGGTAACAGCTGTGAACCGTAATTATGTTGAAAGAAGTCTATTGTGACTCTTGCAACATGTGGTCGGGCATTATCTTGTTGGAAAGTTGGATCTGCCAGGTGTCAAGATGGGTAAAAGATGGGGTTCTAGAACTTCGTGATATAACGCTGCGCGTTCATGTTACCTCTGATGAGATTAACGGTGACCTTGGAACCATAAGCTATAGCACCCCAAACCATAGAACTCCAACAGTGTGAGGGAACATGTCTTTAAACAAAAAAACTGTGGATCCTCCTTTCACCACGTCGCCTTCTAACCCTGCACGACCATCGTGCATGCCTAAACAAAATCGAGACTCGTCACTAAAACCATACTGTTCCATTCTGATCCCAGAGTGACCGTTGTCTGCACCACTCAAGGCGATTACGTCGGTGTTCTCGAGTTACAGGGAGGCCCAGTGTGGCCGGTATGAAACAACAAAACTTCTCATTCGTCGATAAACACTTCGCATGCCAATAGGTCTTCCGTGTTCTGCAAACCATTCATTTGCAATGGATCTGGTAGTGGAGAGAGAAACGGTCCCTTAAGGCCAATAATCTTAGGCGGCGATCTTCACGGTCTGTTGTTCTACGGCGGCGTCCAGTGCCCCTTGCTCTTTGCGTACGGCCTTTTCGAAGCCATGCCTGACAACACCTAACCACAGTGTCTACACTTCTTGCACTCTAACTGCAATTGCCCGAAAATAAAGTCCAGCTTCCGCCACAATACGGCCCCTATCAAACTCACTAAGTTGACGAAATCGTACGGGTCTCCGTACTCGGCATCGTAACCGATCGTAAAGGATGTCAAGAACCAAAATCCGCCAACGTTGATTCTTTACTGCG